TGGTAGCACAGTTCGCGATGGTGTGGTGATGGAGGAGCTGAGCACAGTGGTTGTTGATGGTGTGGTGATGGAGGTCTTGGGCTTGTTGGTTGTTGATGGGCTGGCACTGAAGGCCTTCTCCAGCACAGATGGGATGGTGACAAAGGCCTTAGATGACTTGGTTGGTGACAGAGTGGTGAAGGAAGCTTCCACTGGCATGGCTGGCAACACAGCAGAGGTGAGTACAGGTGAAAGAGTGGTTGGCAGTGTCCTGATGGGAAAGGATGCCAATGACAGCGTGGTTGGTGCTGCTGTGGACATGGCTCCACGTGACAGCAATGTTGATGTCCTTTGTGATGGTGTGGAGTTAAGTGGCAGAGTACCTGGGCAAATCAGATGTTCATCCTTCAGCAGTGTTACTGCTTGCCCTGCCAGGTGGGGTGGGCTCTTGCAGGAGACTTGGGTGGACAATTTGACCTTCTCCCTATTGCCCAGGATCCAGCGGTGCAAATAGCAGAGGTTGCAGTCACATCTCCATGGGTTACCACTAAGATACACTGAGGTGAGCTTCTTCAGAGGGTCTAGGAGTCCTTGGGGAACACTCTCCAGCTGGTTCTTTCGAAGATTGAGGGTTTTCAGATTTGGGAGAGAAGCAAAGACCTCATTATCCAGAGCAGAGAGCTGATTTGTGTCCAGCTGGAGGTCCAAGAGCTTGCTGAGCCCAGTGAAGACTCCTCTTGGCAGGACTGATAGGCGGTTGTGGGACAAGATGAGTTTGCCAAGGGATGTGAGGTTCACAAAGATTCCATCTGGAAGGGTGACCAAACTGTTCCTGCTCAGATCCAGGTCCCGCAAGTGTGGCATGGTGTCAAAAAGACAGCAGGGGAGCTCCACAATATGGTTTGAGCCCAGAGTCAGCAACTTCAGTTTGTTTAAACCAAAAAAACCCTGAGGTGGGAGAACCCTGATGAGGTTGTTGTCCAAGAGGAGTTTCTCCAGGCGAGGCAGGTTCCTCAGAAGCATGGGTGGCAGTGCCCTGAGCCTGTTGCTCTGGAGGCTGAGCTCCAGCAGCTCCAGCTGACTGTCCAGCAGTCCCTCTGAGAGGTCCTGCAGCTCATTCTCATACAGCCGAAGGACTTGCAGCTGGGTGAGTTTGCTAAAGGCATTCACAGGAAGAGTTGTGATCCTGTTTCTAGACAGGTCCAAAAAAGTTAGATTGACAAGAGAATCAAAAATGCCTTCTGGAAGAGAAGGGATTGCATTGATGTGCAGGGAGAGCTCTCCCAAACTTTCCAGGCCATCAAACAGGCCTTTGGGGATGGATGTGACCTGGCTGTCTCTCAGCTCCAGCCTCTGTAAACTTGGGAGGTTTTGGAAAGTGCTCACAGATAGTTTTTCTAATGAGGCACCAGAGATGTCCAAGTCCCTCAACTTGTCCAAATTATCAAAGGCTCCAGGTTCAATAGTCTTGATCTTGTTGCCAATGAACAAAATCTTGATCAGGTTGGGCATGTAGCTGAAGGCACCTTTCCTTATAGCAGTGATGCTGGTTTGCACAAAGATCATCTCAGAAACAAAGGGCTTTGCAATCTTTGGGATCTCTTTGACATCATTTTTTGTCCCTCTGTAGACCTCCTGGTAGTCTTTGGGAATTTCATATGGATCTTCACCCATGATTTGGTCTTGGCATTTATGGGGATTGAAGGAGAGGAGGAAAAGGAAAAGGAAATGCTGGTACATTGTCCTATGAAAAAAGTTCCAAAAATCAGTTATGAAGAACAAGAAATCTCTGTCCATAGCTCATGAACCGTGGTATTACACTGTTATTCATTTCTTGGGACTCTTCTATTCACATACCATGACTCATTTCACGAGAAAGAGACTGAACAAGCAAACATATGCTGCATTTGCACAGTTCACTGCTGTTGGTACCAAGGGATGGAGAGGGAAAGCAAGCCAGCTCATGGCTTGCACTGGGAGATGCTCCAGGAGGGACAAGGCCTGGACAGTCTGTTCTCTGGCCCTTCTTCTCACATGTTTGAACTGTAGGCTCAGTCTGCCTGGGTGAAGAAGGCAAAGTGCTGCTGCCCATTAGTGCTGCCCCAGTGGGTCCAGTTAGTCAGCAGGGCAACAGCCCATTCATGCAACAACAGAAGCAGTCAGCCCTGCACTTGCTAATGAGGGATCAGCAAGATTCCCAGGAGCCAGCCAAGACCAGAGGACCTTGTGTGCTTGGAATTTCCACACTGTGCTGGGTAGACTTACTATTTTATTGCTGCTTCTCTCAGTTCAGGGGGCTGATTTAAAACATGGTTTTATGCATCTCTTTTTCAGGATTCTTGCTAATTGCATCATATTTTGGCCTTGGTTATGCAGCTCTGACAGATAGAAATAGTTAACCTCTGAACAGCAACCAAGCTTTGCAGCAAGGCTCATTAAAACCTTGGAATGTCCACAGATGAACTCTTTAACACCTAACATTTGGGGCTCTGACCTTGCAGGTAGGAAGAGAAATCGCTGATGCACACCTACTAGTAGAGCCCACTTCTTCCATTGAAGCTAACACATTAACTGGGGTTTAACTGCCATGAACACTTCACTGGGACCATATTTCCAACTTTTAATTCACAGCCCTGGATGGGAGCAGGGAAAAGAGGTACAGGTTTCTTCTTGGGTCACCATCAAAGCTGGCCATGCAAAAAAACTTATTTTGGGAGGGTAAATCTGCTATAAACAGTTAATTTTTTAAAGAATGTTGAGACATCAGTGAATATAGGAGACTGAAAGCCACTGGGTTTGAAGAGAAATGGATGGGAGGTGACATTGGTTGTGCAGGCTGGCCCCCAGGGTTCCCAGGGCAGAAGCCACTGCTGATCCCTGCCCATCCTCTCCCCAGGGAGACTCGGGTGGAGGAGCTGGGGCTGTGGCTGTAGAAGTGCCTGCTTCACTTCTGCTGCAGAGGCAGTGCAGAGGGTGAAATGTGGAAACATCTGAGTGTGTAGGGATGAAAATAGACAGTTTTGAACCACAAAGCCCCTTTAAAACCCTCATTCCAGCCAGGCAGAGTCTTGGAGAGATGGTCCCAGCTCACGGCACTAAAGCCTCCCCTGTTCCTTGCTGCAAGGAAATGACCAACAGCCCTCCACACCGCCCCTCCCAGCACATTTTAAAGAGCAAAAAAAAGCATTTTGCATCACTTACTTGGCTGAGCACTTGCAAACGAGTTCAGCCACCGGAGTGAGCCATGCCACGCGAGGAGTGAGGACACTGGATGGGGTCTCATCACCTGGCCAGCTCTTTATCCACATCCCAGGCACGGGGCTCGGTTTCACGTGAGGAAGGGACACAGGTCTGTGTGGGGAGATAAGGGACAGCCGGGGAGCCGGCAGAGGAGCTGTGCCCCAGGGCAGGAGGCACGGCAGAAACCCCTTGGAGGGGACGCAGTCACGTACTCCCCGGCGTTATCTGCTGGCACCACTTGGCTTGTCACATCCAGGGAAAGCTGAAGATCTCCAGGCCAGCCTGTTTGCAGGCAAGGGTCTCTGTGGTCCCGGATCTCCACCAGGGTAACTCACCAGTTTCACAAACACCAGCCCCATCAATACAACGGACAGCTGTTTCATTCCTCAGGATTTGCCTTATGTAGCTAACAGTGCAGTTCTGAAGCAATTTTTTAATGCTTATAAACAGTGAAACATCTGTGGCTTGACAGATGCATCAACACCCAGGCTCTGTGCTCAGCCCCACACCTTGCTGGCCCTAGTGTTGTGTGCTGCACCCCAGTGCAAGCCAAAGACCCTCCCAGGGTGACACCCAGAGCTCCTGGCTAGTGCAGGGCATCCTGTGGGATGCTCATTTTGAGGCAAACTGACAGGATATCCATCACTTCCCCATTGGTAATTGCACTGATTGCATTTAAACTTCTTCAATTTTCACCTACTCCTATAAAAGCTCAGCTTCTGCTTGCTGCACTTGTCCTGGCAAATTAAAAAACAAGCTACTGCGCATTTTAAACAGCCTTACCCCTTCCAACACCAACGGATCCATGTCTCCCATTCCTCGCTGGTGCTCCCCCGGCTCTGCCGGGCCCGCAGAGCGCGGTCCCGATGGCCACGAGATGGTGCCGCAGCACCGCCGCACCGACAGCACGGACACGGACACAGGGACACGCAGGGACACTCAGGGGCACAGACAGACACACGGACAGACCCACGCTGACATGCACAAATACAGGGACACCCTCACACGGACACCTGTGTGCTTACACCCCTGTGTGTGAACCCACACTCGCCCTCCCGTGGGAGCACACGCCTTACTTGTGACCCCCTGCATGGCCAGCACTGCTGGGGCTTTGTGCCTCGTCTCCAAAGAATCAGAATCCCTGGATGGGAGAGGCTGGAAGGGACTAGTGGAAGTCATCTAGTCCAACCTCCCCACTGAAGTAAGGTTCCCAGGGTACCCACGGCTCTGTTCAGATAGCTTTTGAAATATATATAATATATTTGGAGAAGGAAACTCTACAGCCTCGCTGGGCAATCTGTTCCACTCACCCTCACAGTAAAACTCTTCCTCCTGTTCATGTGAAACTTGCCACTTTCCATTTTCAGGCTGCAGGGCTGAAGACCAAGCCCCGACAAAGTGGGGGAGACCTGCCTGTGCACACCTGGGCTGGAGCTCACCCAGCTCATGCCCCTTGCTGGGCAATCAGCAGCACTCACCCACACCTCCCTTGGACAACACAAATCTGTGTCCTGAGGTTTTGCCAGGCTGCAGCTGGGCCTCTTTTCTCTCTGCAGTGCCAAGGGAAGGTGGCTGCAGCAGGCAGACATGAGCACACCCATGAGCCAGGGTGGCACCTACTCACCACCAGGCAGCTGCACCTATGCCACACCTGCACCTATGCCACACCATGCACAAGATCCCAGTGTACCACATCGACCTTCACTGCCTCTCCCATACACACAGTGGTGGGAGGAGCAGAATGATTCCTTTCTCTGCCATGGGAACTAGTAGCACAGAAATAATAGATAAATTTTAATTATATTTGAAATACACAGGAAACACATAGCTGAGAGGATAAATACCACCAGGCCAGCTGTTGTGGAGAGCTTGGAGACAGCTGGTGACCATGGCAGTGGTAGCAGAGCGAGAAGGAGAGCTGTTTGTTTCCCAGGCTGGTTCAGAGGTTGCCAGAGCAGAAGCAAACGCCTGCCGAAGCTCTAGGGCACCGTGGGGAGACTTGGCGATGTGTCCTCGTTCCCGCCCTGTGCTGTGACAAGGACACTGACCTGCAGCGTGCCACAGCGGGAGCGCAGCACCCAGGCCTCCTGGTAGGCTGGCCCCAAGCCCTGCTGCTGCCCGGGAGGAGGGAGGCGAAGGCTGAGTCGCTGGCAGGATGTGGCATTGCAGGCCACGCTCACAGTGCCCTCGGGGTTGGTGTAGGTGCACTGCCCCGGAGCATCTGTGTCCCAGCCTTCCTCTGGGGGGACATCTTGTGCTTCTGGGCACCGCAGCTGCCCGCGGGAGACCTCCAGCAGGGACTGGCCCTGGAGAGCAGCTGGATGGGCACAGAAGGCTTGGCCGTGGATGAGGGGCTCAGCAAAGCTCTGGAGCCAGTGCAGGAGGTAGGAGAGGCGGCAGTCACAGACCCAGGGGTTGTCAGACAGCCCCACTCGCACCAGCTCCTCGTTGGCATCGAAGAGCCCCGGGGGCAAGCGGGCCAGGCGGTTGTGGTCCAGCACCAGAGCGGTGAGGAGGGGCAGCCCAGCCAGCAGCCTCGCCGGCACGCTGGAGAAATTGTTGTGATTCAGCTGTAGCTCTGTCAGCCCTGCCAGCCCCTGGAAAATCCCAGTGGGTAGGTAATTCATGGCATTGTGTGAGAGCACCAGTGTTTCCAGCACTGACAGGTTAGCAAAGAGCTCCTGGGGTAGTGTCTCCAGCTGGTTGCGAGCCAGAGAGAGGTGCAGGAGGCCAGGGGTGCCAGTGAACAGCATGGCAGGCACGGTGGCCAGGCTGTTACCCTCCAGGCTGAGGACAGTGAGGTTGAGGAGACCTGTGAAGATGTCAGGGGCCAGGCTGCCCAGGGCATTGTGCTGCAGCTGCAGCCGCCGCAGCCCGCCCAGCCCGGAGAAGATGCCGGAGGGCAGCTCCTCCAGCCGGTTGCCATCCAGGTGGAGCTCAGTTAGCTGGCCAAGTGCCCTGAAAGCACCAGGAGGCACCTGTGCCAGCAGGTTGTCACTGAGCTTGAGGACACGAAGGGCGACAAGCGGGGCCAGCAGCCCATCCGGCAGCTCAGCCAGAGCATTCTGTGAGAGGTCCAGGGCCTGGAGACGCCGGAGTGGGTGGAAGATGCCAGGGGGCAGTGCCTCGATCCTGTTCCCTGACAAGCTCAGGTCCTTCAGTGGGCAAGAGGCAGTGAAGAGCCCTGGCTGCAGGGTGCGGATGGCGTTGGCACTGAGGGACAGCTTGCTGAGGCTGGTCAACCCTGCCAGCATCCCAAGGCTGACCGCTGGCAAGGGGTTGCCTGACACCTCCAGCTCAATGAGGTTGGGCAGCCCCTGAAAGGCACCAGCCTCCAGCTCCTGGATGTTGTTATTGATGAAGACCAGCTTGGTGAGGGTGGTGCTGGGACCCAAGTCCCCTCTGTGGATGTTGCTCAGGGCTGTCTCCACGAAGAAGAGGTGGGTGGCACTTCCTGGCAGGCCCTCTGGGATCTCCCGCATTCTTTCACTTGAGCAGAAGACTTTGGAGGTGTCATAGCACTGGCAGGTAGGGGGGCAGGATGGGGACAGTGCCCCCACCAGCAGGGACCCCAGCCCCAGCAACACGTAGATCACCAGCCTGCACTGGAGAAGGAACAAAGCTTTATCCCATGCACCCACAGTCAGGCACTGCTGGGGAAAGAGCCTCTGCAGCCAGAAATGCAGCAGGATCAACCTCTGAGACACCACCAGCATAGGCAGCTGCCCTGGCCATGGGGTATCCCTCCAGCCCCTGCTGCCAGCACCTCCCCAGCACTCCTGTTGCAGGAACAGGGAGCACTTCCCTCCCCAGTGTGTCCCCAGGGTTTTTACTCTGTGCCCAAGCCCACCCTGTGACAACCAGGATGATGCCACCCTCCCCAAAGATGGCGAGCAGCCACATCCTGCAGACCAGCAGCTGAGGTGGGACCTGTGTGGGTCCATGGAAGTCTTGGGGGAGCCTGTACTCTCATCAGATGTCTCCACAGGCACAAAGTTAGGTTCTAGGGCAGGAGAATATGTGAAACACAGAGCTGTGCTGCACACACTGGGTGATGGGGACAACCCTGCAGGGCTGCTCTGAGCTCAGTGGCAATAGGAGTGGGCTCCGCCACTTGTATTTCTAATTGCAGTGGGGTACTTTTTTCACAAGGAATCAGAGCAGCATCCAGCCTGCTGGAGGGATATTCAGCCTGACCAAACGTCTATTCCCAGCCCACAGAAGCACTGTTTCAGGTGGTGGCCTCCAGTCCTCTGCCAGTCCCTCCCTAGTTGGGATATGTGCCAGTGCTGCCTTGTGATGGGGGATATTGCCCACCCCACAGCAATGCCCACCTACAGACACCCCGCATCGGTGGAGTTCCCCTGGACTCACACTGGCATTTGAGAGCAGCACTGGGCTTGGCACTTTCTTTCCTCCATCTCGCTTGTGTTCACCACAGCCAGCAGTGGCTCCCACCCATCCCAGTTCCCCAAACTACCCAAGCAGTGTGGGCACCACTTACCCAGTGTGGCATCACGGGGATGGTCGCCAAACCTGCGGCAGATTTGCGGGGATGCTGCTTGCTGAGATGGGACAGTGTTTTCTGGGGCGGATGGGAAGCCAGCCGAAGCCAGGGACAAGCTGTTCCTGCTGGGGCGGAGCTGCCCCTCACTGCTTATCGGTAACAACAACCCGTGTCCTTGGAGCTCTTTGAAAAATAACCCGGCCTCAGAGGAACTGGAGATGAGGCCAGAGGCAGCTGCCTGCGAGCATCCTGGCAAGGAAGTGGGGTTCTGGCCTCAGACATGCACTGGTGCAGGGATGGTGGCAGGCTGCTGCTGTGGTGGCTCCAGTCCCACACCAAGGTCAGCATACTTGCTTCCAGAAGCCCCCTAAGAGAACCCCAGGACTATTAAATCTCACTGGGAAATGGTGCTCAAAATATCTCTGCCATGAGAAAAGAGACCAGGTGCAGGATAGCAAGGCAGATGAAGGTTGAACATGATGTTAGAGGTTTTTTCCAACCTTATGATTCTATGGGGAGGGGATCACTGTAGGATCTTCATGGTGGTCACCAGGGGTTTTTGCATCCCAGCCAGCAGAGGGTTGGTGAGGGGCCCATGAATCAGCTGAACTCCTTAGGAGTTTCAACCTGCCCAGAGGAGCAGCACACACTGACATAAAAGCTGCATTGCAAGGGCCTGTGTTGGCACAGGCTGGGCTGGCAGCAGCCATGGAGGCACCCCCAGGGGCAGGAGTAGCAATACTTCACTGCACTCAATCAGTCTCATGAAGCAGATGTGACATATGGAAAAACACAACTCACAAAATCCAGTGGCAACCAGCTCTGAAGGGAGCCAAGCAAGCTCCCCACCACTCCAGCAGCTGACTGTGCAGGAGACAGCATCTCCATCGAGAAGCTCACTGAGGTCTCACTCTCCAAAAGCCCACCCACTGCTGTTGTATGGCTTAGCCCTCATTGGTCCATCATCCCAGGTTGGAGTCCAGGCACCAGCAAGGGCTCTGCAAACACAGCCCACTAACACTCTCCCAGCCTCACCAACCTGTACAGCCTTTTCAACACTGTAAAAATCTCTGAGGAGTGGAAATCAAGTGCAGTCCCTGTCCCTGCTGGGCCATTCCCCTGCTGCCCACCACAAAGGAGTGAATAAACAGCTCTTGGCACTTGGAGTGGATAATGGCACTTTAATGAGAAGGTCACACATCAGCACCCAACAGCCCCGTGACACAGTCCTGTGTCTCTTGTTACCATGCAGGACTCGGCCCAGAGGAGTGACCCATCACATGCACCAGCCTGGAGCTGCTTGTGCCAGCACTGGCTACTGAGGTGCTATGAGCAGCCAGCACTACAGGGTGGACACCAAACACACACCTTGTCCCACAGCAGCAGTCCTCAGGCAGCCTGGTGCCACTGCAGCACACATGGATGGAAGTGAGCTGAATCCCCCCATGGTCGTGCTGCCGCTGGAGAAGGCAGCTGGATACAGGTGCTGTGGGGGGATGGCATGGCACCCATTTGCAACCTGCAGAGCAGCCAGCACTCGCTGACCCCTGCACTCTGTGCTGCCAGCATCCCCTGCCCAAGGGCTGCCACCAAGCCAGGGCACTGGGCACACACAGGAGGGCACTCAAGGGAGTAAGAAGAGGATGAAGAAGCTTTGTCAAACAGAGCAGGGCCAGGTTGCTCACTAGCTGGTGGAGGGTGTTAAGGAAATGAGGACCAGAAATGGGGTGCAGTAAAAGCAGCCTTGGAGCACGAGCACAGGAGCTTCTCCCAGTCCTTGCAGACGCTTCACACCCATTGTCCCACTCCTTTATCCTCACAGTAGGGCCAGAGCAAGCCCCTGGCACCCTGTGGGGCTGAGGCAGGGTGCTGCAGGCAGGGGCACAGCCACAATAGGGTCAGCACCAGCATGCAGTGAGGGCTGGGGGCTGCTCCTGCCCATCCCCGATGCCAGTACACTGTCCCGTGGCTCTCCTGGCTGGAGGTGCACGAGGGAAGCAGGCAGATGCCGGGAGCAGGAGAAGGTGCTGGCTGTGCTCTGGCCTGCCCTGCCTGCAGGCAGGGAGGGCAACTGGGACGCAACTGAGACACTCAGGGTGTGCCAGCCCGGCACAACCCACCCTGCAGGGAGCCCTGCCCAGGCACCGGCGAGTGACGAAGCAGCCGAGGAAATGCAGCTCTCCTGGGGCCAAGGTGCTCACCTGGCTCCTGGCCCATCATGATGGCTCACACTGTCTGCCCAGGTAGGGGCGGGGGGGGGAGACATGGTGGGGGCAGAAGGTAGGGAAGAGGGGCTGGGCAGAGGTGAGGGCAGCAGGAAGCGTGAGGGGAACAGCACTGCAGGGAATGATGCAAGGTGAAGGATGAGGAATTCCTGTAATTTGGGGTAAAGCACCATCATGGCCAGGCTGTGGCTCCTGGCTCGAGGGGTCCCTCTCTGCATCCCACACCTCAGCTGCTGGACCTGGGCAGGGAATGAGCAGAGAGGCTGCACTGGAGGCAGGAAGGGCTGGGGATAGTGGGCAGCCATGAGAGGCGACTCGGTGGGGAGGCTCTGCTGCAGAGGAGGGGCAGGGCAAAGCAGAGCACGACAGTGATACACACAGCGCACATGGTGATGTTGTCCCATCCCAGTCAGTAAGGGCAGCTGATGCAGAGCCACTGTCATGTCCTTTGACCCCACAAGCACCTCTGCCCTCAGGGTCTGCCAGATACTCAGGCTTCATTCGGAGCCTTCATCCTCATGAGCACAACATGGCTCTTCTTCCTACAGCCATAGACCACCAGTGCCAGCAGAGCAGCCAGCAGGGCCACACATACCAGCACGATGACTGCTACCACCACCCCACTCTGCAGGCGTGTCAGCCCCCACTGCCCCCTCTCCTCCTCCTCCTTCTCCTGCTCCTCCTCCTCCTGTGGGGAGGCTGGCAGCCCCGTGGGGGGCTCCATCGAGGCATCTTCTGGTGATGCTGCCTCAGAGGTGTCAGCAGGGAGCAGGGTGCTGGGATGGGGAGCAGCAGTGGGGGGCTGGGGGTCGAGGAACTGGTCTTTTGGCAGCCCGGCGATGGGGATGCCCTGCAGGGCGGGAGGCTGGGCACACAGTGGGGGTATCTCACCCACCTTGTGAGGATTCTCCTCCAGCCAGCCCTGCAGGGGCAGGATGCCCTTGTCACAGCGCCAGGAGTTGTTGTGCAGCCTCACCTCTCGCAGGGCAGTCAGCGGGGAGAAGATGCCGGCAGGCAGGTACTCCAGGGCATTGTAGTGCAGCTGCACGTGCCGCAGCGCAGGGGTGGCCCCGAAGAGGCCCCGTGGCAGTGCCTGCAGCTGGTTATGGTGCACAGAGATGTTCTGCAGCTTGGGCAGCCCCTCCAGTGCCCGGGCATCCAGGCGGCGCAGGGCATTGGAGTGCAGCGACAGCTCCAGCAGCTCCCCCAAGCCCTGGAAAGCCCCTGGTGCCACCGACCGCAGCCGGTTCTTGCTGAGAACCAGGAGCTGCAGCTGGGTGAGGTTGCTGAAGACCGCGGTGGGGAGGGTGGAAATCTCATTGTCGTAAAGCCAGAGCTCCTGCAGGTTGGGCATGGGCCCAAAGGCACTGGGGGAGATGTCCCGCAGGCGGTTGACGTGCAGGGTGATCTTGGCGAGAGCGTGCAGGGGCAAGAAGACGCCGCTCGGCAGAGTGGTGAGGAGGTTGTTGGACAGGTAGAGCTTCTGCAGGTTGGTGTTGTGCACAAAGAGCTCCGGGGACAGCGTCTCCAGCTGGTTCTGGTGCAGCCCCAGCTCCTGCAGGTCCGGCAGCCCATCAAAGGTGCCCACCGGGATGTGCCGGAGCCGGTTCTCATAGAGCCGCAGCACCTGCAGCCGCGCCAGCCGCTCGAAGGCCCGGGGCGGCAGGCGGTCGATGTTGTTCCTGGCCAGGTTGAGCTTGGTGAGGCTGGTCAACTGGTCAAACACCCCCTCCTGCAGCTCCTTCAGGTTGTTCCCGTGCAGCTGCAGCTCCTTGAGGTTGCTCAGATGGGCGAAGTGGGAAGGCTCAACCTGGAGAATCTGGTTGCTGGAGAGGAGCAGAGACTCCAGCTTGTCCAGAGGCTCGAAGACCTGCACAGGGAGCTCCTGCAGTTTGTTACTGGCCAGGCTGAGGTAGCGCAGGTCGGGCAGGTTCTGGAAGGCCCGGGGGCTGATGCGCGACAGGGCGTTCTTCTCCACGCGCAGCCCGATCAGCAGGGAGGCGTTGCCGAAGGCGGCGTCACCCAGCTCGGCGATGCGAGTGTTGATGATCTGCAGGGTCATGGCGTTGGCAGGGATGGGGCTGGGGACCGTGGTGATGTCGGCACCAAAGCACTCCACCTGGGCACTGCGGGCACACTGGCACTGCTCTGGGCACTGGCTGACTGACTGATTGACCAGCTGGATGCCCAGAAGCAGCAGCAGCCACTGCTGCCAGCCTCCCTGCTCCATTGGGCCTGCAGAAAAAACAAAGGAGGGAGGTCCAACCCCTGCAACTTCCCAGCTCCCGGACCCACTGCCAGGGATGGGTGCTGCTTTCCCCCTGGAAAAAGCCACCGAGGCTGTGGCCATCCTGCTCCCAGCATGGCAATGAGGAGGAGAAGGGTAGGCAAGGAAGGCTTGGGGCAGGCAAGGCTTGGCTCAGCCTACGCAGGAGCTCAAAGCAAGACAGAGCTGGAGGCCACAGTGCCTGGCTGCCATACCACAGCTATTAGTGGCATCCCTGGCGTCCCAGCTGTCTTGGCTGCTCTGACAGCTGGGAGTGTGGTTTCCTGTTTGACAGTGTGGCGAGCTGCTACCAGCAGCACTGGCCCCTCGGCACCACCAAAGAGCCCAGACCTTCACCAGAGTTGGCTCACGGCACCTGCAGTGGTCCCAGCATTGCCCCAGCACTCCAAGCACCCTCCTAGCTCTGAGCTCCTGTTGCAAAACCAAGAGCAGTGCCTAAGGATGTTTTAGCTCCAGTCCTCAGGAGCTGGGTCAAGAGGACCCTTGTCTGCTCCCCAGCAAAAGCTGGGCACAGGCTGACCCTGTGCTCCCCCCATCCCCAGCAGGAGGTCTCAGCTTGGTTTATTTTTACCATGACTGGGGTGTCTGGTATGGGCACGTGTATGCAGGCTGGTCCCAGGGGTGGTACCCAGCAAAGTCTTCCATTACCCCATGAGCACAGATACCATGCACACCCTCTCCTCTTTCCTCTGGCCTGGGAGCTTCCTCTCTCCCTCGAATAAAGCAGCAACCTTGTGCCAGGCTGGCATGGAGCAGCCCCCCAGTAACAGCTTCATGTGGCACAAGGGAGGGAGAAAACCTGCAACTCCTCCTGCTCTGAGCACAGCTCAGGCAGACAGGCAACTCAGGCAGCACAGGGCTGTGGCCACAGTGGCCCAGCTGGCACCCAGGCTGTTGGGGCACAGCCCTTGCCCTACTCCCCACCCGGCCCTCAGGGAACACTCTTGCACTCAGGCAGGGAGGGAGGAACCCTCCATAAGCCAGCATAGTTTATGTTTCCCATATGGAAACAATCTGCATCCAAGAACAGCTTTGTTTATAGCAAGACATTTATAAACTTCCCCAAAAGCTCGGCACATCAAAAGCCCTGCTCATGTCACTCCCTGCTAAGCAGCAATGAGAGCACCCACACTGGAGCAACCTTCAGGAAAGGCAGCTGGAAACTATTCATCTCTCTTTTTCTTCTAGGGACAAAAAAACTTACAGACTAAGAGACTGAACATTCTCTGCTGCTCAGCCCCTCAGCATCCCACTACTTCCCCCAAAATATTACTTTGCCCCCCCTTAATTTTCTCTGTTGATCATTGTCTGGGATACATTGCCTATGTAACTCTTTCAGCTCCCACAGCATCTAAGTGGTCTCACTTTTTCAGAGAACCCTTGCAAGATAAACATCTCCATCAAATAAAAAGGCACTGAATGTGCAGATCCCACCACTCCACCACCAACCCTCAGAGCTGCCCTAGGAGTCCCCAGGATCCGTATCCACTCACAGGGGCAGTAGGAGAAGGAGACTTACCCGAGTGTCCTGCAGCCACGAGCGCCGAGCGAGCACAGCTCCGTGCTGGCAAGAGAGCAGAGTGTGGTTCATTCTTCCCCTCCCAGTATATAACCCGTCCAAATCAATGAATCAGCACAGGGGCAGTGGCGGGGTTAGGGAAAGCACTGGAGCAGAGCTGCTTCCAACTCCTATTTCCTCAGCAGAGCATGCATCTTAGGGATGGAATTTTGGGTTTCTCCCTCCTGAACCCCAGTGCTCTTGTAAGAAGACAAGCAGAGGGCCCTGTGACCATGCTGCTCATGTCAGCCAGTGCCCAGGCAGCAGCTTGGCCCTGGGAGTCCCTCCTGGTCCCCAGTGGGACACAGCCAGGTGCCCTGACCCCTGGGCACAGCCTTATCCTTCTCTGGCACGAGTTCACACCAGGGCTGCTCCACGGCACTTCCTTGGCACGGCACAGCTCTTGTTTCCCTGTCTATGGCTCCTGCAAGTGTCAGGACTGCAGGCTGTGCCCCAGCCCAGGGTCACCAGTGCAAGCAGACCCCTGGCACACTGACCCTGCCCAGGTCACAGTTCTCATTGCCCCCACAGCCACAGATGCCAACAGGTCACAAATCCACAAGCACCCACTGTGGGCTTTGTCCTGTGGGCACCACAACCAGCGCTGTCAGGAAGCGAGCACCGTGCCAGGCTGCTTCACAGAGCCCTCAGTAAGCCAGAGCACTGCCCATGAGCTATGAGGAGCAACTTGGCCCCGAGGAACCCCCACTGCAGGCATCCCTGCAACCCCAGAGCAGGACAACAGCTGTCTCCCAGTGGCTACCCCTGCTCTGCCCCCTCAGCAGTTCTGACACACAGGTGATGGAGCCTGGTACCCAGGGGTGTTTGGAAAACAACCATCAGCTTGTTCAGGGGCACGTGCTGCCACCCCTCCCCTGCCCTCTCCAGCGCACACGGGTGCACTGGGGTGCCCTTGGGTCCCATCACCCAACCCAGGTCTCCCCACCTCCTCCGGGCAGTCCCAGTCCAGCAGCTACCAGGAACGGATATTCGGGAGGAAGCAGCTAAGGAGAGTCAGCCTACGCGGCCCCTTTGGGTTTCCTGGAGAGCCACTGCAGTCCCTTGCTAAGCACGGGGCAGCTGGAATTTCCCTGACTGCCTCTAATCCTGTCTAAGCTCACAACCTCTGCTCAGGTTCCGGGTGGCATTGACAAGCTGCTCAGGATGGGAACAGCGTGGGGCTGCTGCCGGAAAAAGGGGAGGAAATGTGTCATGCTGTGAGGGGTGGGAGCATGCAGGGAAGTGGAAGGGACAGCTGCCCTGCTCAGAGAGGGGACCAGACCAGGACAAATAGCAAACTGCAGGGATGGAGAGCAGGGTTCCCAGACAGTCTCAAAGGAAGGAGACAGGGATCGTGGGAACCAGGGCCACCACAGTGTCAGATCTCACGCGAGGCCCATCTGCCACAGGACATGCTGAATGGCCACGGACCCCTCTCCGTCTGGAAAGTGAATGCAGAGCCTGAAACTACCCCGGCCATGCTCCCTGCCTGCTCTGGGGCAACACCCAGGCATCTGGGCACAGAGAATGGGCATTTTGAAAACACCACCCACCAAGTGCACTAGTTCACACTCTAGTGACACAGCAGTTTCCCAGAACCTCACTTCCCAAAACAATCTCCCCACTTCTGTGACAGTGCTGCAGCTGGAGGTCAGGCACCGGGCTTGGGAGCTGCCTGCTCCCTGCAGCCCTGGCACAAGAGCAGGGCTCTCACAGCCTTATCATGGCTATGTCTGCCCACTGCCAGTGCTGCTGGGCTTCTGCCCATTCTGACTCATCCAAAAGCTCACAGCTTTTCAGCAAGACAACACAAACTAAACCTCAGCACTTCCGATAAAACACTGCCCCAAGCCCAGCTCATCAGAGGAATGCTGGACTCGCCTCCTTCCCAGCAGTGCTGCCCCAGGGTAGACAGGGATGCAGTGGTGGGTACCTCAAACACCCTGCCCCAACGTGGGGGGGTCATCAGATTATGGTCCCTACCACGATGCAAAGTTTCAGAGCAGGTAACAGCCCTGACGAAAACCCTCCTGCGTCTGCCCAGGCCTCAGGAAACTGACTCTGGCTTCTGGCCAGAAAAGATTATTATTTTCAAGACATCACTAAAAATAAAGCAGAGCTGAATAACAAATGACACACACCCATGAACCACAGCCACTCCCAGAGGTTAGCACATGGAAGATCGCCCCAGGCCACTTACAAGGGAGAGAAACAGAGGATATGAGAGTTTGGGACAGCAGCATGTACCCATCCCACAGATCCGGAGGGAAGAGGCACCTCCTGAGATGGCAAATGGATATGATTGAAGGTGAGATTAGCATTTTGCAGGGAGAGGCTGTTCCACATAGCCAGGAACTCACACGGTGCTGGATGGAGTGGAGTGGGTCTCATGCTGCAGAAAAGCCCCAGGTTCAGCATTGCCTGGTGGACCTTTCCCACCTCCAGCTGCACCAGCCAGAGGCTGAAGCCTCCCTGACCAAGCCCTGGACAGTGTAGAATCACTGTTATATCCCTGCATCTTCAAGAAGATGGAGCCCCAGAAGAGCAGCATCACTTATTGCTGGAGTTGTCTGCCTTGCTACAGGACAGCAGGACAGTCCCGTGTCTGTCTGCCCATGCTGGCACACCTCCAGCACATCCCCATGGCCAGAGTGGTGGATGCAGCAAAGCTGAGTGGCTCTGAATCACCAAGGGACTAGAGACTGCTTGGAAAAATTCATGTAATCGCTAAAATTAGCAGCTTGTGGGCTTGGCTGGGAGAGCACATCGTTCATCTGCCAAGCAGCTGAGCATGCTCACCCACGCCATGCAGCTGAGCTCCCCCCTCAGCCCCTGCTCCCTGCACACCTCCATCTCCTGCCTGAATTGGCACCCTGGGCAGGATGGGCCCTCCCCATGGCCTGCTGCTCCCTGCAGTGCAGTGCTGGGACCCCCCAGTTACTTTGCCCGGCTGCAAAGTGCCCACCCTGCTATGAACCCCCCCATCCACGGTGGTCCCTGGTGCACACAGAGACCAGCTGGTCCCAGGCACCAGGCCAAACACTGCTGAAGCGGAGGAGGAGGGTGGAGGTTTGGGCTAGGGGCCACAGAGGGAGTCCTCCCCATGTTCCAGGGAACACCTCTGGGCCTGAGCCCTGCAGCAGGACCCACAGGTTCAAGCCATAGCTGAGGGGTAAAGGACGAGGCATTAGTCCTTAGTCCTTAGATGCTGGGGCCACCTTCACCCTTAGACAAGCACCAGCAGCCGCTGCCTCACCATAGGCCCACCCTAATCCTTTGAGGAGCCCAAATGAGAGAGCTCCTCCATAGGGCCAGTGATCCAGCCATAATGACATTTTCTCTCCCTGCTTGCAGAATGCAGGGCCAGGGCTGCCTCACTGCTCATGGCTAGATGATGCCGTCATCTGCCCCAAGGGATGGGGACATGCCCTGCCTTCCCTGGGAAAGTACTTATGCAAAGTGGGAACTTTGGGAGGGAGCAGCAACAGCTTTGGTCCACCGAGGATGGTTAGCAGGGATGGCCACCAGGCTAACCTCCATCCAAGCACCAGCACCGGGCCCACCACACCCCTCCTGGAGCTCAAGGAAAATGGCATTTAGGATCTCATGCTCCAGTGGGGTTCACCCCAGCAGCAGAAGTGTCTCCTCCAGGCTCAGGCCTGGCCCGAGCGAGAGCAGCAGCACGCAGGGCTTGGCCCAGGCTCAGGGCAGCGCTAGGCTGGAAGGAATGCGTGGCTGCAGCCAAGTCCCCCCAGAGATAATCCGAAGCGGAAAGAGCTCGTCCGATGTGTGCTGTGAAAGGGGGAAGGACCAGCTGGAGTGGGAGGTGATGGCATGGAGCTCATACACTGAGAAAAGTTTCCTGGATCAGCTTCATCTCTGTAAAGCTACCTCTGGCACCACTAAGTGCCCCAGGGACCTCTTCCCAACATGAAGGGGGAAGGGGCCTCATTTCTTCCCAGGAGAAGCCAGCAGAGGAGTGAACAGCAGACTGCAGAGCTGCTGCCAGCCATTGCTGGCTCTCTGCCCTGAGCTTTTTCCATGCAGAGAGACACAAAAGCACAGCTGGAAGCCTGGCATGCCAGTCCTACAGCAGCAATTGCACAAGGGCTGAGCCCAGTGGTGGATGGGTCTGGGTGCTGCTGGAGCAGAAGTGCTGTAGTGAAGTGAGACTCATTCCCCGTGGCCCAAGTAAGAAACTACACCAAGGCTTATCCACCCACAAGCACCCACACGTAAGTATAAACCCAGATTTAGGCTACAAAAATGGAGGCATAACGCCCCCCTAGTTTGCCACTCCCTAGCTGGGACAAAAGCAGGCGGTTCAGGCCTTCTGCTCACTGTGAGTCTGTAAACACTCATGGTCCCAGCCCTGAATGGTGGGAATGTGCCTTGGGCTGCGTCTTCTCCCAGCTCTTCTGACATCCCTAGGAAACGCTCTGATATCAGGGCTGCCAATCAGCAGCCACAGGCAAGCTGTGCTGGTTGGAGGCGTAGAGGAGACACAGCCAATGCTCCATAATGTCAGGCAGAGGTTCCCAGGGCTCCTGTCTCGCAGCAGCAGCAGCTGCATGCACTCCTGAACCACACAGCACTGCTGGAGGCCTTCTCCAAACACATCTGCCATCACCCTTCTTCTCTTTGACATCAGGACAGGGAAAAGCTGAGGTGCAGGCTCTGATCTTGCTGCTGGGCATTGGAGGACTGAACTGCATTTCACATGTAGCTGCCCAAGCTCACTGCCCTCTGCAAGCAATGAAAAGGGCCCTCCTGCAGTTTCTGGTCTCAGAGGGCAGAGGTGATGGGATGGAAAGGACCAGGACACCAGGGACACAAGGAAAGGATGTGTGTGCTGGTGGCTTGGAAGTTCTTGCTGCAGTGGCTGTGAAATAGGCAGAGCTGCCAGTGTTTGTGGCAGCAGCTCATTAAACTCCCTTCCTCAGCACCCTGTGCTCTGGGGACTCTCTGAATTCAAACCCCATCAAGAAAGGAGAATGGCATTTGTACTGACATCAAGCTGGAAACATAATGAATACTCACATGGCTTGGCACAGGGTAGGTCAGAGCTCCCACTGCTCCAGGATTTCCTAAACAGAGAGAACAGGAGCCACTGCTACAACAACAAGCATTTTGAGGGACAGAGCAAGCTCTGGCTGGGCTGGCACAGCTGGCCTAGTGGTGTGGTACCCAAGCACTCCCAGCCAGGATGTGGTCCTGGAAGCAGGTCCTTGACTTGGAGGTCTGGGTAACATGCAGGGCTGTTAAGCATGACTCTGCACCCCAATCAGGAGCCAAGAGAATGGAACCAACCCCTTCAGCCACTGTACGTGGATGTGTTTTACATTCACCTTTTCCCCAAAACCAGGGATCCATTGGATCAGGGGTTAGGTACCTCCAGTTTCTTCCAGCCCACCGTGTTCTCACCCAGCCTGGTGGCAAAGGCCGAGCAGCAGATGACGTGAGCGTGGACTGCAGGGACGGAGAAAATTCTTGCACACAAAGGAACGGTGCTTTGAGGCAGCAGCAAGGCACGGCTGCCCAGAGAGGGTTTGGGGACAGCTGCATCATGCTGACCTGGACAACTATCCCTTCTCCAGGAAAAACAGAAATGGGGCATGCATAAGGATATCCTTGGATTTTTCAGGCCAGGGAGTTTTTCAGGAAGGGCTGAGCTTCACTGGGCAAGAAACGATGAATCAGAGGCAGCTCAAAACAGTACACCTCAGAGGAAAAGTTAGTAAACCACCCCAGGCACTCATTGCTCCAGCCTTTTGTTGTCTGATGACTTCACTTCCCCCGTCTGGCTCAAGCGTGGGGAAAGCCCGATGACAGCATGTGAAGAGGAATCATCGTCTCAGCACTTGACTGTACACAGCTCTGTGCCAGAGCCCCCACGTGCCAGAGCTGGAGCTCAGTGACTGCACCGGGAGCCAAGGAGCAGCGTGGGGGCCCAGCCGGCTGCACTGCAGGGCTGGGGCAGCCAGAGGAGGGCTCAGAAAGGTGGCACCTGCTGCTGCCCTCGGGTTGGACAGAGGGGGGTTGTACCCATACCACGAGCAAACAGGTGCTTTTCCTTAGAAATCAGACACTGTGCATCCAAGTGCCCAGAGCATACTTCCTTCACTGAGGTAACAGTCACCAGCATGGCTTGTAGAACCATTTCCTCACTAGTCCTGGTCATACTGATCTGCCTGCTGCGAGCTGATGCCTGCGTGGCACCGTGCGACAGTGCTGGAGCTGGCACAGCACTAAGTAGTCATTACAGCTGTCCAGCCAAGAACCTAAATTTGTAACAACTCTCTCTTCTTAAACACTACATGCAACCACCCAGAACCACCACTGAGAAAGCTCACTGTTGGTTTTATGCTTCTCTCAAATATATTGCAATAAATGTTCTGGAGCATCTGTTTATGATTCCAGTCACAGTTTGCTTTGCACCACTTGGAGTGACTTGCATTTCTGTTTCTTTAGAGATGGCTCCAACTCCCATTTAGCCAGATTTGCTAAATTTTGTTAAACCTCATCAGCAAGACAATGATCATTTAACACTATAGAAGCACATTCTCTCTTTTCACAGCCTGGAAAAGGAGTTTAAGCCCAGCAGCAGAGCACCCTGAAACAAAGCACTTACAACTTATTCCTACTGCCTAGAGTAACAGCAGGGAACCAACCAACCATAAACCTGTAGGAAATGCAAGTTTTCTTCACCTCAGGTCTGTCACGTGCATTTAAAGCCATCCCGGAAAGTCTCTAACAGTGAGAAAGTCACTAAGGTTACAAAATTACTCCTGGAGTAGAGGCTCTCTGGCCCAAGGAGCCAGGAAACCACACCCAGACGTTTTCAAGCACATCAGAGCTTTTAAGAACAAACTAACTCCCATAATGTAGATAAAAGCTGATAGTTAAAGCCAAGAGCTACTAAAGCACAGGCAGTCTGACAGCCACCAGTCTACTTATGAACTAAAATATTCATACAATTCAAAATATTAATAAAATGTTAGTATAAAGACCAAAACCCACACTATTGCTTAATAGTTGCCTTTGCACATCAACACTGAATTCAGGGAATAGCAGTATATAATAAGGTAAAAAACATCAAGACTGAAAATGCAACTGAACACTCCAAGCTGATGAAGTTGTATACGTTCCCCAGCCAACTTTGAAATGGAGGTGACACTTCGTGTCCCTCAGTTCAGGCTGGCTCCCTCCTGCCCCCCAGCTGCATGCTGCTGTTTTGCTAGCCAAGCCCAGGAGAGACCATTCTTCTCTCTCCCAGCTCAGCCAAGACCAGCTCTCAAACCAACTCACCCCTGTGGAGCCCGTCCTCAGTCCTGGGCATCTGCCTAGTACTCTGGTTTCAAGATTCCCTGCATCATGCAGCCAGGAACACCTTGTTTGTCAGACCAATGGCCAAAGTTTAAGGATCAAAGTGTTTACTTGATCTTTACAAAGTTTCCAGAAAACCTCCAAGCAAACAATAAAATACATCAAGATTATATTTCCTCGCTCAGCATCTTCCTCCGCTGTTAGCTTTAATCGGTACCCCTTCCTCATGCCACGTCCTGGAAAGGGGCTGAGGACAGAGAGCAGAAGTTAAGACATTTGCACACACCACTCTGCACACATCTCCATTGTCCTTCCCAGCATCTCCTCCCAAAAACACCACTTGTTTTCTCAGTAGGGAGACAAAATTGCAGACAGTACAGGGCAATACTATTGTATTGGAGTACTTTGGGCAGTGTCTAAAGCACAGTTGAAGCCATGTTCCTATGTAAGAGTTCCTATATTGATGGCACTTCATCTGAGCAGTGAACACTCAGCAGGCAGGAAACCCACAGCACACATGTAGGTAGAGGTGACCACAAACACTTTCATCTCGCCCTCTGGGTTCATGCACCAAGTGCTGTATCAAGTTATAGTGATTACAGCCACTCTTGGGAAATGCTGTGGGGTGCATAAAACTAATTTCCATTATGATATAAAGACAAGGTCCTTATGGTCTTTACTATAAAAATTTGTAATCCAGATCTGAATCAAGTATTAACTGCTCAAATGTTCAAAAAGTATCCAAAGCAACACTTCCAGTTCTTTCTTGGGCTGGATTTCTCTATCTTCTTAATATTCTTATCAGAACTACAGGCTGAGCAGGAAAATTTCTGGAGTGCAAGAGTTGCCTGGTGTTACCCATCACATATAGACTGAGCACAATGACTACAGTCTGGAGCGTTAAAATCAAACTGTGAACACACAAGAATAGTTGGCAATAAGTAACTCTGGTATTAGAATAGGGTTTAGCACTTCTGAGGGCTGGAAACTCATCCCACCAGACGAGAGTAGTTAAATCTGTCCCTCTGACACTGTTGGTTTGTGCTATGATGCTGGGAGAAGTTTGAACTGGAACATCTGAGAAATGTAACCCAGGTTGTCCAACACCTTCAACATGGGAGTAGATAAAATCTGGAGTTGCAGGAGGAATTGATGTGGGTGTGCTGATAGTTTCCATGTCAGATAGCACTGTTACAGCAGTGTCCCCAGATGATGTGAAGGGCTCTGTCACAGCAGATGTTGAAGTCTGGCAATAAGTTGAGCTGAATGTCTGATATGTCATAGCTGTGGTTGGCAGGCACTCTGGGTCATCAATGCTTAGAGACACAAGAGAAATATTCTGCAGTGCCATTGGGCTGTGGCACATTAGAGATTGCACATTTTTAACTATTGTTGTACTCTTTTGGAGCCATTCTCGGAAGCCAAGAATTTGGCAATCGCATTTCCAAGGGTTGTCATCAAGGACAACTTCTTCCAGCTCAGGTAAAGCAGTAAAGAAGTCTGCAGGAAGAGACTGCAGATTACTACTATTCAGGTAAACTTTCTGGAGGTGCTTGAGATTACGAAAGAGGTTTCTAGGAAGAACCTCAAGCTTTGTATCAAAAAGGGAAATGTTCTGCAGTTTCTGAAGGCTCAGAAAGATTCCCTCTGGCAAATTGGAAATATTACTTGTATGGAGAGAAAGGCCCCGCAGTTCATTCAGGCCACTGAATGCATTCCTAGGAAGAACCGTAAGCTCCGGGTTAAAACTCAGCACAAGAAGCTCTAAATTTGTCAAGTTACTGAAGACAAAGTCTGGTATTGTTGAGAGCTTTGTGTGATAGAGCCATAGGCTACCAAGATGCCTCATCTCTCCAAACAATACTTCTGGAAGAGACTTCAGTGGGTTCCTGTACAAGGTCAGTTTAGACAGGTCATGCAAGTGCAAAAAAAGCCCAGAAGGCAAAACCTGAAGCCTGTTTCTGGAGAGTGTCAGGGTTCTTAGTTTACGAAGACAATGAAATGCATCAGGGGCAATGGAATGGATGTTATTGGAATGCAGAAAAAGCTCCTGCAGCTCCTTCAGGCTATCAAACATACCAGACTCTATTAAAGACAGCCTATTAATATACAGCATCAGCTTCTCAAGCCTGGTTAATGCACTAAATATATTTCTAGGCAGTGCTGCTAAGTAATTTCTTGACAAGTTCAGTACTCTGAGTTGGGTGAGTTTCTTCATCACATCACTGGGAAGTGCTGTTAGTTGGTTTTTGTTCAAGAAAAGCTCCTGCAAACTAGCCAGTTTGTCAAACAGGTTTTCCTCGATGGATTTCAGCCTGTTATTTTCGATGATCAGTTGCTGAAGCTGCACCATGTCATCAAATGCTTCTGGGGGAAGTTCAACCAGCTTATTATCTAACAGTTTGAGGACTTTTAGCCTTCCCAAGCCTTTAAAAGCCTTTGGTGAAACCAGAGCGATGTTGTTTGAAGACAGGATGAGATGTTGCAGTTCCACCATCCTAGCAAAAACGTCCTGCAAGTATGATATGTTAGCATTTGTTATGTGAACTTCTGTCATGTTGCAAGGCAGATTTAACAATCCCAGGTCTTTTATGTGGGGGCCAGAGCAATAAATAGCATTTTTTGAAGAGCAGTCACACTTCTCAGGACAAATAGATGCATCCAACTGGAAGAAAAGCTTGATCATCACTGACAAACGGAACACCAACATCCTTGTTGAAGTGCCAGAAACATTAGCTGTTACAAGAGATAAGAGAGAATCAGGATTTGATCATAGGTAACTCAGCAGCTCACAAAGATGTGTGATTATATCATAAACCCGCAAATGTGTGCAAAATTTCCCTTGGCTTGAAAAGCAAGCTTCAAAATCTCTTTTGTTGTTGACTGCCAATATTTCTGAAGTGCTCAGCTTACACTGAGAAGTACAGATAAATTAACTTTTGTAAATCAAGTACTTCTTGTTTGTACTTGTACCAGTTAACTACAATAAAAGTACACAAAAATCATGATGAAACGCTTAAGTAGTCAACAGACATGTATTTATTTGAACAGAAAAGCATTACAGAATTACAGAAGGGTTTGAGTTGGAAGGGACCTTAAGGATCATCTATTTCCAACTGACAGGGACATCTTTCACTCGACAAGCTTTTGTATATTATACTAAATTACATGCCAAAAATATTTTCAAAAATTATCAAAAGGTCCTGCACTCACTGAATTTTTCCATTGTAAGTTATCTGAGGTTTAAAAATAAAGTTTAGTCTGCAAAAATAGACAATGGAGGTAAAAAGGTTGTCCTGTACTTTAAGTGGTGAAAAGCAAAACAGCACCATCCAGTTAAATCCTGTCTCAGCATTTTCAAATGATGGCTTCTTGGAACAGCCCAGGAACACACAAGAAGAACAGGCTATTTTTGACACAGCCTGAAATAACACAGAAGACCCCATGTGGCACAGGACAGTAGTGAGCCTCTGATAACCAACAAGTCTCATTTCAACAGCTGAATGCAATACTGAGCTGTCAGCAGTAGTATTAAAAGTACAGTGAAATGAGAGGAAAGAAGAGCACGAAATTAGATGGGAAGTTGTAGCAAAAAAGACATCTGCATGAAACACACCACAAAGTTGGAAAGTTGCATACATTTCCAAACAAACAGGAAAGGAATCATTGTAGGTATAAATGGTAATATTTAAAAGAGCAAGCCAAACAGAAACCCACAGTCTAGAAATACTTCCTCAATGAAATCAACAAGTCCAAGTGTATCAGAAACCTGGATGTCAAGCACCTGGCTGAGCAGCAGAATAAGCAGCAGCTGGGACAGCTGGAATAGCTACACAACTTCCACAGAGGTAACTGAGACAGCTGACACAATGTCAGTCTTCTGCCAGGAACATGGGGGGAGAGGAAGGCTCCATCCCCACATCCTCTTTTTCAGGAGCAAGGATGAAGCTCTCCCATACCAACCCCACAGAGACTGTTGGGTACAACTCCCATCACTTAAAGAGAAATCAGGAGGGACAGCAGAGCTTCTCAGGCACCCAGTATGTTCTGCTGACAAGAACATACCACAACGGACCCAAAACAACTGCATGCCCAAAACAGCTACTGCATTAACAAAAAAAGGCCAAAAGAGCAAAAGGGAGTGCTTTAAAAAAAATATTTTATTTAGGTTCAGAGTACTGAAGTCTGGTAAAATCTCCAACTCTCCCTCAGGAAGGGAAGGACATGGCATTTAGTGCTATCAACGACCAGCAACATGGTGCCACAAAGCAAGATCTCAGTGGGCTTTTCACAACTCCTTGAATGAGACATATGCATCACCAAAAAATAGCACATTTCACTCTTCCAAAGGTCTTTCACATGTCAAGCAAAAATCTTTGAGAAATTCTCGCCCTTCTAGTAATCCTCCTCATCCCAAAACTCTCATAAGCCAGTGATGCTTTTACCTCAAGTTTGTAAGTCAGCCTGTCCCTGATCCTACCTATCCCCATGAGCAGAACCCTCTATCCAGAAACACATTAAGAAATTTCTGTTTCAAGCCCTGACTGGCATCTCAACCAGCACAAATTTAACTCAAGACCACAGAACTGCAGGATTCAGTGAGACAAGAGAACCAAATGGAGGGGAAAACCTCCAATTTGTTATGCTAGAAACTACAAAAGCAGGTCCCTTGGAAGGTATGACTGCAGGCCACTCTGTAAAATCAGAAACAGATTAACACTAGACTGTAGGTTTGTGATGTCTGTTTTCTTGGTCTTATAGCAAAAGATAAGACAGTATACAAGAAGACAAGGTTAGATGCTCAGAAATGGTAGAAAGCACTAACTTTGACAAACAAACAGCAAAATGGTAGCAATTCTTTGCAAGATATGAAGGCTGTAAGTGCTGTCACAAGAACTGGACAAGCCTATGAGTCTCAAACATCTAGAGCTGCAAACAGTATTTCTGAAGAAACATTTAAACAGTACAGAATACAGTAATACCCACAATAAAGATCACAATTATACATTGTATCAAAATTCTCTCAAACCCTCCCTCACATGAGACACCTGGCATTGCAGAAAAGGCACCAGCCTGGCTGGTCATTTACCAAAGTCTGGTCTACAGCCTCTTTCCCTTTCAGCCCCCTCTTAACATTTCTCAAGACTACAAAAGGATGCCAGAGACAATACATTAATACTGTTACTATATTAGAAGTCTCAAATTAGTTTTGAACTTAGTTTTAGAGAACACTGATCACATGCATTGCTTACAGTGGTGCTTACCTCTTTTATTGTCTTGCAAGCTCCTAAACTCATACAAGCATGAAAAAGGAATTTTGAGCTGTACCTTAGAAACTTATCTGCTTTTTAAAGGAACTTACCAGGAGCAGAGCAGGCTTCACCATGACACTGCACTTTAAACGGGAAGTAAAACAGCAAAAGGCATCCTCTAGATAACACTTTCACCCGTATTTGCCCAGTTACTGAGACAGGACAAAGGTCAAACAATATTTGAAGCTTCAGAGCAGATTTTTGCCTACAATTGTTCAAGCAACCAACTTCCACAGGTTGTATGTAACTGCAAAAGTAGGGCTTGAAGCCACTCACATAACAGGAGAAAGTTTTAAGTCACACACCCAATGGCAGAAAACCCCCTTGTAGCTTCTTTGTCAGTGATACTGGAGTATGTGCTTCAGATAACCCAAAGCAAATCTGAGTGAAGTCAGAAATCTACACTTCAATGCGAGATGTGAACAGAAATTTCAAATTTGTCACCGGTCTGCTACACAGATTTTAAAGGAGTGGACACATCCACTTTAAACCAAGTGCTCATATCTTCACAAAGCTGCTCTGACTTTCAATTTCTTGCAGGATTGGAGTCAAAGCAGTTTCAGTAAGGAATGAAGGATTTTTTTACTTAATGCTTTGGCTAAGCATTCCAAGGTTGACCCATTTAGTTTCTGTTTTTCCTCAAAGTCTTCTGGAGTGGCAGGCCAACAAAACCTAAAACCTCTAAGATTCTGAAAGAGAAAAGCTACGTTTTAAAAACAGAAGCTTGAAACTGAAAGACTGAGTTTTTGTTATTAAGTAAAAAGGTATTTTAAGTATCTTGTTTTCAAGTTTAAAATAATGTGCTCTGCCAGTGACTGTTTCAATGGAAGGTGAGCCACAGGATAGAAAACATGTCTTCATTTCCACATGATTTTTCTGAAGATGACTATGACAATGGTGACAGTTCAGATCATGCCACCCACATGTCCAAACACAAGGAACATCTGAATAATCAAAGATGGAAACAAGTTGCTATCCCATGTACAAGGTCTGGCTTTAGAATGGCTCTCATAAGCCACCAGGTGAAGCTGCAGTCAGCGTGATCCCCCTAACACAGCAGGCACCATTCCCACCCTCACCTGAAAAATACACAGGTGCTGAACACCATATCCATGACAGCAGAGGGACTAAGTCTGTGTTCTTCAACAAGCTTTGGATCTAATTCTATAAAGAATAATTAAAACAATTCCATGAAACTAATGAGAAGAATTAAAAAATCGGTTCATTTAAATTTTATTTTCAAAGAGCTTCAGTCACAAAAATGATTTACAAGTCTATTTACAATTCTATTGTACAGTTATTTATGTATGCCTCTTGACAACAGGGTACCATTCTAGAGCAGCAATACATATTTTAAATACAAAGATGTAGTATCATTTCAGATTTAAAAATAAAAGGAAGCTGAGCTTCTAGAGAGCGCTGTAATGATGAACATTTTAATCTGTGTTAGGCTTGAGGAATTAATGACAAACTAAGTAGTTTCTGGTTCACATAATTATTAAACAAGCTGCAGTTTGTTGAAAATAGTTTTAAAAACCTGAAGCTTTACTGTATATAAAATCAACATATTCAAGACTCTAAAAATTGTCAAAAACCCACAGCTTTCCCTTAGACATACAAAACCCTAAGTTTACAATTCAGAATTTCATGGGAGAAATCCTACAGGACTTGAGCTCTCTCATTTTGTGATGACCAACATAAGCATTAAAAATCTGCAGCATAAAAAGGACTCCACATCTGCTTAGTATTATACTGCATATACACACATATACAGTACAGGATTATTTACCCAATTTGGGATGACTGTTCAGCACAACCTTCATGAAGAAAGAAAAAAATAAATATAATTAAAAATCCAACAACTTTTTAAAAAGTGCAACAGTAAGAGTTTCCAATTTAAAGTTATGATGAATATGGACAGTCAGTTCTGTGGGTTTTTTCAGCCGCTTCTATTCAAGCATTATTTGCAGCATTTTCTTTTTACAGTAGATTTAGTTCTATAGTACATGAAACTAGAGTTACTGCTAATTGAATCTGAAGGGAAAGGAAGAAAAGAACTTTAAAAATAACCCTGAGGGATATACAATTTCATGATCTTGTAATTTATTTCTAAAAAGTAGCATTTATTATTTAGCAACTGCTTTTCTGGATAGACCAGTCCTTTAAGTATGTGCATAAATAATATTTTAAAATCAGTAATATTTACAAATCCTAATACATCAAAATAAAATACGTACAGATTGAAGTCTGCATACACAAATAATTTAATAATAAATCAAACTCCTCAACATAAGGCCAAAATATACAGCAGGAAGAAAATGTCTACCCAGTATCTAGTGGAGCTCACTAACTTGGTCTGTTCACCTGGATTTAGATTTCCAAGATGAATGCTGAAAGAGATTTTTTTTTCAATACAAAATGAATTTCATCTTACTTCAAAACAGAAACTGAATACACTAGTGCAGATCTAGTTTGCTGCATTTCTGAAAACCAGAAAAACTAAACTGCTCAAAATGAGAAAAATTATAGGTGGTCAAATTCAGAGCTTGGGCAGGAAGGCATAAATCCCAATAATTGCAGAAAATGCAAAAGCTTATTTTGTGGCTGAACTTGCAATAACAAGATGGATTCTCAGAAAAACTGATTTATTATTCTTGACTAAGCGTCAGAGCTCAAGCATGCAACCTCAGGAACATTTACCAACCCTGAACACAGACCTGGAGGAAACAAGCTCCCATTTGCAAAACATTCAAGTTTACTACACTCATGAGCCATTAGTCACTCAGTCAAGTGGAGACACTTGGCAATTTCTGTTTTAGTAAGAGTTCCCTACAATGTTCTCCAAAGACAAGCCCACCTTAACACAGCTGTTTCCTCCTCACTTTCTAGGTAAGTCTAATAAACTAGAATAAGACTGAAAAACTAGCTCCAGAAACCAAGCAAGCCGAGAGAAATTATCAGTTTAGGAAAGTATAAAGCAAAAGCATATAAAAAGGAAAGACACAAATATTTTCCTTCAGTTCTCATGAAACAGCAAATCTAAAATGGTCAATGAAACGGAAAGCAGAAGCTTATGCGTTTAAGGATAAGTCACAGCTCCCAGGTCCAAGATGCATAGCTTCACAATATTTTTCAACTAAAAAATTATTTTTGTTTAGATTTGAATACTACTTACGCAGCTAAGAATTATTCTTCATCAGTTATTCCATGCTACAAAGGTTTTGTAAAATCAACATCGGCAGAAATTAGCCAACTGACTCAGGTTCATGACTAATTAATGTATCCAATGTTTGCAGACCCTTTCGAAGCTACCAATGTTGTTCGATGTTTATGACCTTACGAAGCCAGGATAATAAGAACATTGCTCTGTTGAATGAATGCTAAGAAAACCACTTCCCCCTTTCCCCCTGCTCCACTCCTCAAAAACAAACAACAACAACAACAGAAATCAGGAAAAGAGCTGACAGCTGGACTGGAAGATAGTACACCATATGCATACTATTTAGGAGGAGCAATAACTTCAACAACCAAGTTCTAGGAAAAGGTCTTCCAAACCCTTTAGCACCACTTTTAAATTCCCTGTTGGCACAGTATATTCAACACTGCAGAAACCACAACATGATTGACATTAACATAGTTAACGGTTTGACTTGATGATCCTGAAGGTCTTTTCCAACCTTAATGATTCTATAAGCAGCTGGACACCCTGTCCATTCTGCCTTACAGAACAGCACAAGGGAATTAGGCCTGATCTGAAAAATTCTGCTTATTAAAACAAGGCTGGAATGAAATTGTCTCCACAGGAATTTAAAAGAACAAAACAAAACAAGACAACCCAGAAAAGAAAAAAAAAAAAAGGAAAAAAAAAAGAAAAAAAAAACCCTAACATCAAAACCTCAAATTCCATCATCAGAATATATACACTTCAAAACAATCCCAACCAGCCAGTAAGTTTGAGGCCCTCATTCCACAACTACTCTAAAGGACCTTTCTTCCTTCTCAAGGATCTCTACAGAATCATGACTTCTTCAGACCCCAGACCCCCTCCCAAAGTTTGGAGGTATCTGGACCAGTTAGTTGCCCCGGTCAAAAACAGACTGATCAAGGCTCAACATTTGTCGTCTTCCCAAAGACGACTTTTCCAAACATTTATGAAGTTGACAATGGTTTGAAGAAATCATTTTGTGGTTAAAAAAAAAAAAAAAAACAACAAAAAAAGTTTTAAACCTTGCAAGTCAAAGTGCTGTCTGCCTCTACTTCTTTGTAGACCTATTTTTCTAGTGGTCTTGTGTTCTGATAGTGCCTCGTGGCAAAATGATGTACGGCTACCCCTAGTGCTTAAGCAGCATTAGTGGTGATACAAGCTTTTTTTTTTTTTTTCATCTTTTTTTTTAATAAATAAAACCTGCATAAGCTTTACAGTTCTGCAGCAAGACAGACTTTAGCTCTATTTTCTCTTAATTTTGTTTTGTATAGCTACATGTAGCGCTTAAGACACCGGCAGATTCTTTGAAATGCTTGTGCTCTTAACGTGCACAAATCCCACATGTGGGCATGTGACAACAGAACTCACTCCCACTCCCATATCCCTTGAAGCAGTAACTCTGGCCTTACTACTTCAAGGTAAATTGGAAAATTATCTTTAGATTTACAAATAAAACGTGGTCCACAAAGGGATAATCCAACCCTTCTGCTGGAAAAAGCAAGGTCTGTGGAGAAATGCATAGCTAAATGTAATAAAACATGACATAGAAGAAAGTGTTTAGATTCTCCATCCTTCTTTCTCCAAAAACTTTAGAGTGTAGCCAAATGGCTCCTCCCCTGGAGGCCACCTAAGCCCTTCCCTGTGGTTAGCTAGAAAAGAAGTCAAGAATCCACATGAAAGCAATGTGCTTATTTCTTAAAAACAGAGCATATTGCTTCAACAGGATTCCCAAATCCTGCTGTGGCACACTAAAGAATTGAACTTAGAACGCAAACATTACACCTGGAAACACTCAAACACTCCTCACTAATAGGGAAAAACTTAAGAGGTACACACACAAACTTTAGAACCGTTCTGAGGCACAAAACTTCATTAGTCAAATAAAAACCAGCTAAACAAACAAAATAATCCCAACCAACCAAAAAAAACCAAAACAAACAAAAACCCCCAAAACCATGACAAGGTTATTATGCACCTCTAGCACAGCCATGAAACCATCACATCATACGGTTTACATGAACACATGCCCAGATAAGCAAGTTATAACAACTATTAAGATACTCCAGGCAAATAATGTGAACCTGTTTTAAC